TTTGAAAAACAGCGCTCGGGCCACACTGCAGCTCCTTAGTTCCGAGGACGAGGCTGCAACGCTGCCCATCAACATAGTCATTTCTGGTGACCATAAACGAGTCATGATCCACATCAGTGATCGAGCGGGAGGAATTCCTTTCGATGTCGGCCAACACGTGTGGTCGTACTTATACACAACAGCGCGCGGTGATGTCAGCTATTTGGCAGGATTTGGCGTTGGTTTGCCAATGTCAAGGCTGTACGCAAACTATCTGGGTGGCTCCCTGAACTTGATCTCCCTCCCAGGTTACGGCACTCATGCTTACGTGTATTTTCCACGACTTAACTCCGAGCAGGTGGAAGTCGTGCCGGACAAAGACCACTTTTGGACCAAAGTGGACAACTTTCTTCTCTGAAAAGGTTTGCTTGGAATTGAGAGCTTCTGTTGTTCACACCTTGGAGAGTTCTGCCGACGTTCACCCATCTTTTTTGACGAGATTAGTTTGCAAAGCTGCATCTGAGCTGTTGGACTTGAGCTTTCCTGTTCTGTCGGCGTGACGTCCTGGGCCATACACCCTGTGGGCCGAATCCTGTTCAGCTTGGAAGAGGCACACGAGAGCACCTTGCTCCAGAGCTTGTGACATCCTAGGCGGAGAGAGCTCTGTTTTCGTCATGCTCAACAAGTCCTCCAGCAAGCAGCTGAGGGTCGCCATCATTGGCTGCTGAAGCTATATGTGGGACCATGTCAATGTGGGCTGCGATTGGGCGGGACCGTCATGTAGACAGCTCGATGATCCACGATCGTCAGTCAGGAGCTAGGCAATGGTTTTCTGTCTGCTTCTTGTGGTGCGTACTGTACCGAGCGCCTCCATATGAGCAACGGCCTCATCAGAAGTGTGAAGCCATCAGCTATGGATAGTCAAAAAGGAGCTGGAGTTGCTGCCGACGCGGATGAGGGCTGCGGTTTGCATTCTTGCAGAACCCGATACTGCTACCTGCAGAGGTGGTGCAATACCTGTGCGATGCAGGGGCTGACAAGGACTGCATTTTTATTCGTGCCAGAAGATGTTTGCTGGAACACCATGCTTTACTCAGAATCCGCTGTCTGTTTATCAGGACCGGACCATTTGTGATGGTGTGACTGCCTTCCATGCAGCTGCAGAGCAGCGGCCATAGATTGCTGGTTTTGCAACGGCTAAGGCTTAAGGGATCCGCGAGTAAGTAGGGTGAACAATCAAGTAGCACTTGCGTGTCCTGTCCGTCCTGCTGGTAGAATCTGCCAAGCTACTCTGGATGTTGATTCGCGTCCCAGATCGAAGACTCTGCGAAGTTCAGCCATGATGCGAACACCCAGGGTGCACACATCAGGTGTGCCGGCATCTATCGAGCAACATACTCTGCTGATTGGCAGGCTAAAACAGGAACTAGTAAAAGCAGGGCAGGTTTTTTCTTCTGTTCGACCGAAGCTCCCATCCAAGTTCCCTGAGCAAATCCAAGCTGCAAGGCATGTGCATGTTATGAATCTCTGCATGCCTTGACCGTCCTCGTCCTGGGTATAGTGTGAACAAGGCGAGGGCATGCGGAGGTTGTCCGCTGCCTGTGCGAGGCGCTGGTTGCTGGTCTGAGAAGCCATCATGGACTTTGTTGGCAGGGCGCTGGTTGTGTTTGATGAAGTTCTCTGTCAGGTGGGAGCAGACAAGGACAAGGCCATGCGGAATGGCCTAACGCCGCTTATGGCTGCATGCCTTCAGGGCCACGAGGAGGCTCTTGCCTGATGCCATTGCTGACATTCACCCGCTGCGTCCCGGACACGCGAAGTGCAGACGTCCAGGCAGAAGTACACGAAGCTAATCTAGAATTTGAGGTTGACATCTCCGGTCACGTGTCTTAACAGTTGACTGGGGGCAGCGGAAGCAGATGGCTCACTGTGTGTTGAGCAACTACCGGCATACCCGACCAGGTAGTACGCGTCCTCTGTGAGAATGGAGTCATGATGGAAACCCCGATGCGTGAGGATGCTTACAGTTTCAAGCATGGTTGGAGCAGAGAACCTCAGCATCTCATGTAGGGTGACCATAATGCTGATATTTCAGGACCTTGTCTTGGCTACTGTGGCGCTGATGAAGAGCCAGTCACGAACTTCAGATTCTCTCGGGCCTGTACCGTCAAATGTCATGCAGCCTGATGCCAAGGCCAAACTCAGAGATGTTCCTCTGCGATCCTGGAAAGCACTTCGATGAGGCTTCTCGGGCTGTTTGCTTTCATGTCAATTTTGGTGTGAGTGTGAACCGTCTACAAACCGGGCTGAACCTGTCTTACGTATGCAAGGGCGAGAAGCATGGCCGGCAGTTGACTCAATGGATCTCCGCGCGTGATTCACAGCATTTCATCCAAGCTTGCTTTCCATCTGAGGCAAGGAGCCACATCGCTGCATGTCGTCGAGTCCTTACTAGATTGGCTGCCATTCCTCGTGACCACAGCCGCGAAGTGTTCTGTACGAGTTCGTTAGTACACAATGTTATTGCTGCTAATCTGTTACATTGAGGCTGCCCTCCACGGCCATTTGGGGGTAGTGCAGCAGTTGTGCTCACGCCTCAGCTTTGTCCATTCGCGAACAGCAGAGAGGTGCGTAAGGTGTGATCCTCGCGTTTGACCTGTCTTCTTTGCTACAGAGATGAGGCAGTGCTCGCGCGAACCTGGAGGCTGCCATGCGTGCCGGTGTGCTCAGACTGCGTCCTGAGATACGACGACCTCGGACTCCCAGAAGGTTTCTTTCCCTGTCATCATGCTTCCTTTTGGAACTTACTGACCCGACAAACATATTTTTGCACTTCCCGTGGAAAAGTTTGACATGCTGTGGGCTCGTCTTGGGCATTGGAGGGCGCATGGAGAGTCTTTTCCATGGTTTTGCCTTGTGTATGCGTGGCATTTCTTTGTTTCCGCCAGGGCTATGTATCACCCATTCTCAGCTCACGTGGGGTGGACCCATCTGCGTGGGAATCGGGTTGCGCTTGGTTGTTTTCAGTACTCCTCTCACGCCTCTGGCGTAGCCTTGATGTGCTTGGCATGGTCTTGCAAAGAGACTAAGCAGCTTTGGAACGCTACCACCGAAAGCAGTATGTCATGTATCGCGCGCACTAGTATAGGCGCAGGAATCCAGGCGAGCATGCCAGAAGCGCCGGCATGTCACACTCGAGTCAGCTGACAGGTTTGTGACTGTACTTGGGCCGATTGATGCGTGAGCTTCGATTTGACCACTGCAAACATGGCATGGCCAGAGATGCCCTGAAATTCTGATATGCTGAGATGGGCTCCACACCGTTGCTGGGAGCTGCTCAGGCAGGTCATAGCGAAGTGGCTACTTGTCAGCTTGAATATTCCCTTTTGATCCGTCTTGTATTTTGTCAGAAGCTTTTAGCTGCGTGCCGGGCTCCATACTGCAAGTTTTCAGTATCTGAGGTTCGCTTTCTTTGCCAAGCTCAGGCGCTCCGCTTGCCTGGTTCGTCTCTAGACATTGCAAAGGTGTATACTCCAACCAGGCAAATTTAACCGGCCAAGGAGGCGTGAGAGACAGCGGAAGGCTCAGATTAAAGCTTCTTGCAGAGGCTGTGCAGTCTGTCTAACCATGGCTTCTTAAACAAATCCCACTCCATTGGTCGAATGCTGAAGGCGAGTCACCACTCATGGCAGCAGTTCTGCGTGACCATTCAGAGGCCTTTTTGCCAGCACAGGGCAAAACATGCAACATGAACGCGGCAATTCCAAAGTTGTACTACCAACGTTTGCGAGTCTTTGTTCAGCTGGCTCTCGATTCCAGTCTGCCAGCCAGGTTGTGCAAGCTTTGTGCGAAGCTCGCGTGCCACCGCCATGTGAGACATGCTCTGTAGATGCAAGCCAGCCTCCAAGTACAGCCTTCCCACAACACTGTTTCCACATGTGTCGCGGCTCATGCCAGCTATGCTGTTGCTCCGACCCAGTATCCGCATGTTTCTGTAAGACCAAAGCCATGTGTGAGCCAGGCGGACCCACTGCAGGCCGCGCCCAATGGCATCACTCCCTTGCCACTTGGCCAAGACAAGTCAGGAGTATGTAAGTACATTCCTTGTGCTTGGCATGAACATGGTAGACCCTCCAAGCACATCAGACTAAGTTGCTGTCTGAGGTTTGCTGCCAACATGCTGGGCCTTGGAAACATTGCGGGTATCTGAGCTGCCCACTCTGGCGAAGTGGGGGCTCGGGAATGATTGCCAAGGCAAAGATCCTCAAGCAGGCATCACTTGCCCTGACCTTGGCTCTTTGCGCGCTGCTGGCCCTGACATACCCGATACGCGTCACACCTCTCACCTTGCGAGACTCGTGTCATGATGTAGATGTTGTACAGTAGGTAATCAGCAAACTTTCTGCCACATGCCATGAGTTGCCTGATAGTTGCCTGATGTTGCTCGAGTCCTGTGCCAAGGCTCCTCAGACCTCGCTTCTTCTTTTTTCTCGGTGCCCTTGCCGCCGCAAACATCGACCCACGCAAGGGAATCAGTTTTCTTAGCGAGCCCGGGACCCAGGTCGACATTTGCCGAACTCCCAAAGGCTGCGCCCATGCTTGCGTGCATTCTCATGGCCTCTCACAAAGAGCCAGCATCTTTGCTTGAAATGGGCTCTTTCTGGTGAATGGTGCCTAGGGCAATGGCTGCCTGCGCCCCGAAGCCCATGCTGGCATCTGGCTACTGCGCAGCAATGCCAAACTGCCACGTCTCACTTCGCAGCACGTTTCTGCTCTCCTTGCGCATTTCATTCACAGACTGCAATCCATGCCTGGAAAACGATCTGCCTGCCTCCGAAGACACGTTTTTGTGGAAGAGAGATGGCGCTGAAGAGGGAATCCGAAGAAGCATGTCTTTAGCTGAGATTGTGCCTTTGAGTTGCGTTGCAGCCACAGAATGTTTGTCATCTGCTAATCTTCAAGTATAACTGGTACTACGAGAATCACCCCTTAGGATTCAAGCCTTGCTGCGCCACAAGCAGGCAGAGTGGCCGAAAGCTTCAACGCTTGCGAAAGCTAGATCCTGATTTTGAACAGGCTGGCGCAGCATGTAAATTTGCGGATCATACTGAATGGGCTGTTCACAAGTTACCATGAAGCCACAACATGATGCCTAAGCCCGACAGCGTCATAGGTGATCCACTTCGTGCAGAAGCACAGCCGAGTAGAAATAGGACTCGTTTTGAGCAGCAATGTTGATCCCGGGAGCATCAGTCTCATTTTGGCCCGCGCAGAAATCGCTGCAGGTCTCCTGGGCCTAGCCAGGTCTCCTGGGCCTAGCTTTCGGTCGAGCCACCCCCTTCCTGAATCAAACAGCAAGAATTCAGAAGCAGCAGCAGGAAGCGGTCACTAGGTTATCCTGACTAAGCATGCAAGTAAACTAGAAGTGCATCGGCAATGGGACGGACGCATAGTCCAGCCGTGGCGCAAGTCATTGTGCCCACATCCTGGCATTGTAGTGGTGCACTTCTTGGCTACTGGTGCCATAGGGCTAGCCTCGCAATCGGGCAGGTATGTGAGGCCATGTTCAACACAATCCTGAGCTTAGACTTGCAGGAGTTTCTGAGCTGCTGGCTGCGTTGGAAAGCGCTGCTTCCTCTGCATCGACGATTGTTGGCGGAGTGCTAGGGCTCTGCTAGACTTTCAAGGGTTTTGGGAAACATTTGCTGCAGCACTGGTGATACATGGTTGCTTGCATCAGAACCTGGCTGGGAACATGTTCGTCGCTAGCGCTTTCTTTGCTGGATTCAGCTTGTGAAGGACAAAGAACACGTCGTGCCATTCGCATCTGATCGGATTTGTTCAGCCGAGGCCATGGCAGCTGAGCGAATTGGTGCTGGCGTTCCTGGGCTAAACTTCAGATACAGTAGTGACCAAGCCATGCAGTGACCGATGACTTGAGACTGCTTGCATGACATATGCCGCCCAGAGCCGTGGCTTGAGAGGCCCAGCGGAGCGCATGCACTCACTGTGCTTTGTGTGAATCTGCCAGCTCCGGCGGAGGTGTTTTCTTGGAGATTGGCCGTGCTGTCCATCCTTGTCGGTGCTGTTGGGTCAGCAGCCTCAGAATCAGGGTAGCGTCAAACATCTGATATAAAGCTTCCTCAGGATGCCACGGTACAGTATGAAATTGCGATGTTTGAATGTCGCAGCTTCTTTCGCCGAAAGCTCACAAGGGTTACAATTTCTGTGTTGATGTCCAGGCATGCTACCAAGACATGAGCCCTGTAGTGCTAGCCAAGTTATGACAAGCGAGAAAAGGCCGTCCTGTCCTCTGTGCTGCAGGCTTTCGCTCTTTGCATTCGCGAGGCGCATCTCTGCCTTTGACTGCTTGTGCCTAGCATTGGTTCGGACTGTGAGCCAGCGAGCATGAAGGAGCCACTGGACTTGGCGAAGCAGCGCAAGGCATCCCCCACCTGCTGCGGTGGAAAAGACAACTGCAGGAAAATGGCTTTGCTGAAGTGTTGATATGACTGGGACACTCAGGATATCCTTCCTCTGGCAGCAAGACCTGATCCTACCCCAATGTAAACACGCCAGCTCAATTCTGCAAGACAGCAGGACGACGCTCTGAAATACCAATACTGATTGGCATACTACATTTTTATATAGAGCCTGCCGCAGCATATTGCTAATGAATCTGGTAGATCACAAAGAGGACCTAGCTTGCCATGTCCATCGCTCCTGCACGGTGTATGTGGTGACCGTGTGCTGGGATTGCGCCGAAAGTCAGTGTGGATTGATGAATCAGCTTGCACCTTTTCAAGGAAACTGTTGGAACCCCATTTGCGCCCATCCTGTCGAGTTTCTAGTTGGTATTACGTTGCATTTCCTGAATCATTTGCAATGCAGCCGAATGCGTCTTCCCCAAGTGTGGCTAGTATAAGATCCCACAGGAGCGGTTCTCTCAACTGCTTGAGACTAGTTGTTTCATCTTGTGTATATTCCAGTACATGCCACGCTCAGTTGGCATCAGTTGACCGCATTGCATCCATTCGGGCAGTGTCAGCTCCTGTGCGGGAACTGGGCGCAACAACTCAACCTTCGTATGTTTTTCGCCGTTGCCGTGCAAGATTGTATGTTCTGACCTGAGCTTTCTGGCTCGAGAAGAATCGCCATAGAAGATTTCTCATCCACAATGAAGCTGAGCCTTCTGTTCTGCAGCGGGCTGTCGGCCTTCGCTGTCAAATTTTCTTTGCAGGAGAATGGCATGGCCTGGGGTTGACGATTCTTGTGCAGGATGTGGGCTACTCTCAAAGTTGAACATTGGCGGTTTGCATGGTTCCTGAGCGGGATCCTGCATTCTTTGTTGCGGCCCAGTACTGGTTTTGCTTCAGGATGTAGGGTTCCGAGCTTGGGGTATAGTTTTTGTGATTGTTCTCGACCATTATTTCCATTGACTTTTGAGAAGAGTGGATGGCGGCCAACAAGCGCAAAGATTTTGCGAGGCAGCGTACGGAACATGAAGACTACAGGATTCCAAATCTTTACGAGCGCAGAATGATTTGGATGGCAGCGTACCATACAAGTGACTCTAACCCCAAAAAGCCAGCACATACTTTCCAAGTTTTGGGGTGTGGTTGCCGCGTATGTCGTGTTTATATATTGATGCGGCCATGGAAGCGTTAACATTAGATCCTGGAAATCCCGCCAAGGAAGAGGATTTGGGCGGCAAATCATGCGGCAAAGTGTGTGGCAAACCTTGCGGCGTAAATTTGAGGGGGGGGGGGTTGGGCGGCAAATCATGCCGCAAAGTGTGTGGCAAACCTTGCGGCGTAAACTTGAGGGGGGGGGGTGGCGGCAAGTCATGCGGCAAAGTGCAGGGCAAACCATGCGGCAATTGGGCGGCAAGTCATGCGGCAAAGTGCCAGGGCAAACCATGCGGCAATAATTTCTTGTGAACATGTCAGCTGAATTTTTAGGGTATGCGTGCGTGGCTGCTTGAGCATGTCACTACCAGACTACCAGTCGGACCAATCGTGACTCAAGTCATGAGTCATTCGCATGCCCGCTCANNCGCAACAGAAGCCCACGGAACCCCCCCCATGGAACGCCGGCAGAAACCCGCAGGCCGCACGGCCGGAAAAGAATTCCCATTTAATTTTTACGGAACTTTCACGGAGGCCACGCGGAACCCCTACGGAACTGCCATAAAACGCCCACGGGAGCCCTACGCAGACCTCACGGAGACCACGGAATCCGCAAGGAACCGCTACGGAAGCTGCCACGGAACCCCACGAACCGCCACGGAACCCCTACGGAACCCCCACGGAACCCCCACG